TAAGAATATTCTAATATATTACAATAATTTTGTGATAATTTATTGTGATAATTTGTCCCTAAAACTGTGTCTGATCTGAATCAGTTGCGTTAAATAAGGAAGGCATACACAATGTGCAGAGCAGTAGTTCTCCAGGACTGGAGTTGAGAACCACTGTTTTAAGAGCTAGTTTGACTAGTTAGCAGTTAACCAAGTGGTAATCCAGGGGTTCTCAACTCTGGCCCTCGAGGTGAGTTTAGCTCTAACTCTAATCAAACACACCTGAACAAGCTAAAGGTCTTCAGGATTGCTAGAAAGTTACAGGCAGGTGAGTTTGATCAAGGTTGGAGCTAAACTCTGCAGGCAAGTGGATCTATACGGCCAGAGTTTACGGATTACAAACTCTGTGGTAATCCATTTTACTTTTCGGATTTAAATTAGATCTACATTTTTATGTAACTGAAAAAAAAAAGATGACTAACTTTTAAGACTTGTTCAAAAAAGTTTATGCAACTGGCCACTGATGCCTTAAATGTGTAATTGATGATTCAGACCACTAGGTGTCAGAGAAGAATCATGTTTCATATAACAGCACGTGGCGTTGTCAGTTTATGGTCTGTCTGTCTGTCTATCTATCTCTAAATATCTAAATATAAATATCTATGTATAAATAAACTCTGATACATCTGTTCATAATTAGACTAATGATTAGTAAACTTAGAGTTAGGTTAGTCAGTCGTTAAATTAGTAATGGTGTATCTCAGTTATTTTTATATATATATTTTTTTTTTATCAGTTTGATGCAGTACAACAATTCAGGTGTTTTTAAGAGCGGGTTATACTATATAGATTTATGTGAATTATAAAATGATTAAAATTAAGTTAATGATTTTTTCAACAGACAATACAAACAAATAATTATAAATAATAGCAATTATCAAGATATGCGATGCATAAATAAATATTCTCAGTATAAAAGATCAAATGATTAAAAAATATGATGGTTAATTCTTACAGATTAATGATGGCCTTGTCGTTTGTAACATAAATATTATACTCTTACGCTTTTTTAAAGCGTTTTAAAGAGTGCTTTTGTGGCATGGGGCAGAGTTTGACTTTCAATGTGAGAAAGGAGAAAGCTCATCAAGCTGCTATGTGAATGCTACAATATGAATCAGCAATGAAAAGGAAGAAAATGAGCTCCTTTCATGCCACGGATGTAAATTTGCCTCCGCAGGATCAAATGCATGCTGAGTCTAACTAAGAACAAGAATGGAAGCAGCAAAAGGAGCTTATCAAACCTCTTATTTGGTGCTATTCACTTCCATGGTTGGATGCAAGTGACATGGGCTCTGTGAAAAGGCCAGATCATTTTGACCTTCTACAGACAGACTGCGCAGCAGGGTTCCCCCCTTTCACAAGCAGCATCACAACCCCTGATATGCTCCATTCAGCCATCTCTGACTCTTTAAGAGGGAACAATGTGACCTAATTGGATGGCTCCTTATAATTAATGTTATGTTGATGCCAAGTCTGACATGTCTTGCAGAGATTCTGTATCGTTAGCAAGATATGTTGGTGTATTTTTCTTTATTTATTATTATTGTTATTATTATTTTAATTTCAAAGGGCGAGCTTAATGCAAGTGCTGTGAATTATTCCTTTTTTTAAGTTCATTTACGATGTTTTTGAGTGTTGGCATCTTAGTGGTTAACGATCTGCACTGTAAACCAAATATTACTGGTACAAATTCTGAAAAAGGGCAAAACTGTACTAGAATGTTATGGCAATCGCCATTATTTAATTGTTTCCTTGTTACCATATATCTATTAAATCAAAAAGTATAATAATCCATATTGTAGAATATTATTATTATTTATTATTATTATTATTATTATTATTATTATTATTTTGCCTTGACTTTAATTCATGCTAGGCAAACTGAATTATGGTGGTCAACCGCATTTCATCCCATAGGAATATATAATTTTACATTTTGCAAAAGAAAATGTTAATTCAGGCTTTAAAACATCTGGTCTGCATGTAACGTAATTGATGACAATAACTCTATGCTGCAACACTAAAGGATAAAAAAAGATGAATGCTAAAATTATCAGCTTGATTCTTGGAATTAAAGTTAGGCGCTGTGACTACGTAATACAACGATGGTTTGTGATGTAGCGTATCCGGTTGGCAAAACCTAAAACCTGGCTTGGATTACCACTTAACTAGAGTGCCAGAACAACGCTAGAGTATTATGCTGATGGGTTTATGAGCCAATATGTCAAGGGTTTAACAGCATTGTGCACAGATTAAAATCCAAATGTCATTTCCCAGGCCAATGTATTTAGAGTTGTATTAGCAGTCTACCTATAGGCCTAACTAATGCAGATACTGATCAGAACGGGTATAATGATGATATTGTAGTAGGCTAATCGAATGAGAGATGTACACATACATGCTAAAATTATTAGGTATAAAAGTATGCAATATTAATAGAACTGACAATTGTTACTTCAAACCTTACATTAGGCCTACATTTCAGATTTTAAAGGATTAAAATCCCCCCCGCCCCAGAATCAGCTCACTAAAGTCCACTGGCCATACTCCATGACGCATTTTGTCGGTGCTCCGGCATCATTGAACAGCACACGTACCTCCGCTGCAGCTCCACGGCTCGCTGTCAGGTGCGGATCAGACCGACTCTAGTATCATATTCAGCGACCACCCGTCCATACACTGTCTGTATTTCAGAAACGCCAGAGGATTTACTTCACCACTCTGTCTTTATGAATTGCGACTGATAAAGCCTCTAAGGTAAGGTTTTATTATTCTGATATGCGGTTTGTGGTTTGTTCACAATTGTTGCAAATTGCATTGACTGAAACACGTCGCGTGTGTTCTGCTGGTATCCGTTTATTCACCACGCCACTGTGGTGCCGCTTCACAGACGCGGTCAATCCTGTCGCGTTTATTGTAACGTTGATGTTTCAAATAGCTGAGCACTTCATTTCTGCTGCCTCTGATGCGCTACAGTCTCTATGAATGTACAGTGAACAAAGACCGGTGACACAGTCAGGTAGCAACATGTATCAAGAAGAATCAAATTCGACTACATTAGATGTTTTAGATGAATTGTCTGTTTCGAATAAGCTTATTTATTGGCAATCACCTGCATCTAACATCTGTTGCGGGAGGAAGTATTGGTGCTGTAAGACCATACACAGCTGCTGAAATGACAGATGATATGAGTTTTATTGGTGTCTCTCCTTAACTCGCCAAGTTGACCTGGTTATTGAGTAAGAAATTACACCAGTTCCTAATTTTATTTTATTGTTATTTTTTATTGTATTGAAATATTTTGCCCACATATTTGCCTGACTTTGGCTCAACTTTTATTATAATAGCCATGATTTGAATGCACTTCAGTTTGACGGTTATAATAAGTAAATAATATTACATAATAAATAAATAATATTACATGTATGGCATGATAACTGTAAGGACAGATAAATAATAAATAAATAATATTCAAGTGAAAGTTCATCTAAAAATTAAAATTCTAATTTAGTTCCAGACGTGTATGACTTACTTGTGGAACACAAATTAAGATATTTTGAAAAATGTATCTTTTTTTTTTTTATCCATACAATGGAAGTTTGGTTACAAAACTGTTTGATTAGAAGAAAGAGTCATACAGGTTTGGAATGACATGCAGGGGAGTAAACGATGACAGAATTTCATTTTTTATTTAATTATCTCTTTCTACCTTCTTTATCTTGGTTTGGCTCTTAAAAATAAAGGTGCTTCAAAAGGTTCTTCAAGCGATGCCATAGAAGAACCATTTTTGGTTCCACAAAGAAGCATTCAGTCAAAGGTTCTTTAAATCACCATCTCTTTCTTACCTTTTTATAATCTGAAGAACCTTCTTTCACCACAAAGAACCTTTTGTGAAACAGAAAGGTTCTTCAGATGTTAAAGGTTCTTTATGGAACCATTTAGACAAAAAGGTTCTTCTATGGCATCGTGAAGCACCTTTATTTTTAAGAGTGTATCTAGTATATTTGAAGCATCATGGGATTTTGCTATTGATCAAGAGTTTTATATTGTTAAACTGAAGATCATGCCAGGAAGTTGGGGACTTTAAATGAAAAGATAAAAACAACAAACAAAAAATGTACTCTTAAATGTACTCGCAAATCTGGCTGCATTTAAACCTCTTCAACATGTAAACTTTGATAAATTGGTTGTTTATTGAACTACAAAGAAGTCTATGCCTGTCACCGTCTTACTGTCTGACATAAATGTAATTTAGTTTTGATGTCATGCTTAGGGGAGGACAGAAAGCTATATCCTGAAAGACAGTGTCCCTCACAAGACTCTCTCACTGGGAGAGAGAGAGTGACAAACTGCGGAGGTGGGTGCATAAGAGATTTATTAGATCTGAGTCAGTCCACTGTGTCAAGTGTCCTGGAACAGTGTGATTTTATTTTTCAACAGCTTTTCTGTGAAGCTTGAAGTAGCGTCTGGTTTGCTTTTATTTAAAATATACCTGGATATACAGACTTATATAAAATAATACATTTTACCATTCAAAAAGCAATGTGATCATGAAGTTTGCAGTACATGGTTATCATTAGATTCCCACCTGGGTGTCTCTTCTCAGTTTTCCATCCCAACAGGAAGACTTGCATCTGCTGAGCTGTATCACTTGTCCAGACTAGTATCACTGGGCATGCTTTGATGATGGCTTAGTTTGGTAATAGGAGTGAAATAATCTAATTAGGAAGTGTTCCGTAAAGCTCAATTAAAGGCAGTGATCACTGTAAAATAATACGCTCAAAGGGCACCTTGAATTTCAGACCATGATTTGCCTCACCGTTAAGGCTGTGTTCATTTTATTAGCCATTAAGCAGTTCCACCAAAATCAGTTATGTGGAGTTTAGTCAGACACAATGGCGCAGAATGATGTGCGAGATGGCGGAGGACAAGAAGGCCAGTGTGTGAGGAGGTGATCATCATAACAGAATTTGACTCTTGATTTGATAGTCTCATTTTACTCAAGCCAGTTGAGCCGACACACTTTTATGCAGTTATTTCACAAGGTTTAGAAACCCCGCTCGCAGAACTTGATATGCACTGCTGTTCTAAATGCCCTCTGATCTCTGATTGTTATAAATTGTTAATGTTTTAATCTTGTAATGCAGTTCACTTAGGCTTGACTTTTTTATTTTTATTTGAGTGGCTCTCTAATGTGCACATTTAGAAGAAACAATATTTTAAATTATCCCCTGTTAATACACTTTAATCAAGAGCTACTTTTTTTGATGGGGATAAAAAAAAATATATCCTTCCAGCCTGAGGAGATTTATGATCGGATTAATGTCAAATTATTGGAAAATATAAGCTTGTATTTCTTCAAAGAACTGTCCCTCATGATTCAGCTGAGGACAGTCTGAGTTCTCTTCTCTTCTATTTAGCACAGTGCCTTAAATAATGCTAATAACACTGGATGTTGTGGAGGAAGGGTGTAAGTATATGGTGCAGAATTAGCTGCAAGACTGGGAGTTTGCATCTTAATGAGGATAGCTGTGTGATTTTCAGAGGTTTGCAGGCCCTCTGCACTCTGAAACAGGTGGTATTTATGCTGCGGAGGTGGAAGGATGATTCACTGAAAAATGCTGTGCCTTGTATAGCACTGCTGTTACGTCACTCAAAAGGAGGTGAATCATTAAAACTCAATGTTCCATGTGATTAGCATGTATGGATATTCTTATATGTATGACACGTACTGTAATACGTGAATATGTAGAATAGGCATGCACTGGTATTAAAATGTTCTATTTTTTAAATTAAAATAATAAAAAATATTTTTAAATGCATATTTACTTTTAGATTTGCTTTTAACAGTAGGCTATTGATGAATTAAACTTTTAGATGAAAGCAAAAGTAATTCAAGTGTAAAAATATGGAAAATAGAAAATTAAATATCAAATTTAACTAAGCCAAGACGCAGTATCATTCAAACGTTTGAGATAAGAAGGGCTGGGTTTTGACACAAATTTTATGATTGGATTCGATTCTCATTTATAAGCTCGATTCGATTACCGATTCGATTCAATATCAGTTATTTTCGACATATATCAGGTACAGTACTTGCCAAATTTTCAAGGAATAAAAATATACATAAGAGTCAGTTGGTACTACATTACTATAATATTGAAGGTTAAAACTGACTGATTTGTAGGCTATACAACTGCTAAAATTACACTTAATTAAGTTTTTTAAATAATAAAGTTACAATTACATAATATTTCTACTTCATTTCGTTATTTTTTTTTATATAAACATTTAAATGGTGTCATAAAAAATGTATGGATTTATTCAAATATAAATTAAACATTGAAGAACAGTAAAAATTATAATGAATATGTTATATGGTGCATCTTTTTAGCAAAATGCCCCTCTCTACAGTTTATTTTTCTATCTAACTAATGAGTTTATGGTCACCGTATATGTTTTTTCTAAATGTGACGTTACATGACACATTGTTTACAAGTCATTATTGACGTCTTTGCGTGGCTGAAACACTGATTGAGCGATTACATGAGACAGGATACGGATTGTAAAGTTGTACTCTTTCTTTTAACTTAACTTAGGATGTTTAGTTATGTTTATTTTGTGCTGAAACTGGTATTAATGTGGAGGAGATTATTAGTTAACGTGCGTCCTGCGCTGCCGCGTCTATTGATCGAGGCGCTCCAGCGATCTGTCACTCACCATTAAAAAGCGCCAAAACTGCATTTATTGTTTAAATACTGCAATACAATGGACAAAATTTGAACTCCGAGACTTTGTTTCATATTAAAAGTACCAAAGCACAATGCTTATGTTGCTGGTCCTAGTCTATGGAACAAATCACTAATTTCTGTTAGAACTGCATCCTCTTTACCAATTTTGAAGTCATTTTTTAAAAAAAAAAAAAAAAAAAAACTACAGTAAAAACAGAAATATTGTGAAATATTATTACAATTTTCTTTTTTTTTTTCAGTATATTTTAAAATGTAATTTACTCCTGTGATGGCAAAGCTGAATCTTCAGCAGCCATTGCTCCAGTTTTTAGTGTCACATGATGCTTCAGAAATCATTCTAATATGCAGATTTGGTGCTCAAAAACATTTCTTATTATTATCAATGCTAAAATCAGCTGTGATGCTTAAAAAGGGGTCCTATTATGCTGTTTTACAAAGTCTTGATTTTGTTTTGGGGGTGTACTAGAACAGGCTCTCATACTAGGTTGTTCGAAAAACAAATTGTTTTTCACATATTTTACATTACACCTCTCTCCCCAGTCTGGCATGAACGGCTCGAATAGTTCCTGTTTAAAATGAAGGCCCGCCTTCTGAAATACGAAATGTGCTGTGATTGGTTAGCTGGGCCAGTGTGTGTTGTGATTGGCACCACTGGGCGCCTGGTCAGGAAATGTCATGCCCCTTACCATAGCCGCCTGCGAGCTTCAGTGTACATTTTGCTTTAAAATCAAATCTATTTGAGCGCAATTTAAACCGGGATGATTGTAACCACTCTAAGTTTGTCTGCCTTGGGAAAGCTAGCGTGTCTCCGACATAGTGTCTCCGACACATACTCGTTGCCTTCTCTAGTGCAGCTCAACCAGGTCTCGTCCCATTCGTCGATATTTGTGATATCACAAATCCCGGAAAATATGTGTTGTAGTCCAAACGAGTCGTTCGTTGTAGTTTTTGAAAAGTGATTTCTGTTAAATAAAATATCTCCTTTTGAATTGGACTTTGAGCTTT